AGTAGTTGTATTTCTTTTTCGTGTTATCCAAAAAACTCAAATTTTATTATTTATTGTACAATAAAATTCAAAAAACTCAGAGATATGTCAAGAAACTCGTTACCTTCTTTCTTGTTCTCCAAGAACTAAATTTTATTTTGTCTCTTATGATGAGATCCGATACTTATATCTTCGCTACTCAAATATTAAGCGCTTCGCTTAATATTTGTGAAGTCGGGTTTCATAAGCAATTAAGTTTCTTTGGCTAGTCTCGATTCGTTTCTAGGGCTGGCGCCCTTCACCGATATCGGCTCTCGGATCTCATCTGCATTTTCCGATCCTGATTGTCGGCGATTCTCTGGTAAGTTTCTTTTCCATCCACCTGATAATCTCCGACCTCTCAATTTACGTTAACCTAACTTTTGTGATTCATTCATGTGTCGATCCGTTTCTAGGTCTTGTGCTCTCATCTTATCTAATCATCGATCAACTTCTTACATGGCGCTCAAGAAAGATCCGGTATGATTTTAATTCTTGTATGTAGTATCTGGATCTATTGATTTGTTCATCGTTTGATTTTTGGATTTGGTCTTTCATTGTCTTAGGATCAATTTGACCCTCTTAGGGAATCGATACTTTCAATTACTGAACATACCAACATTGAAAACGGGTCAGCTTTATTGTTACTTGCCCAGTACAACTGGGACAGAGAAAATCTAGTTAATGATCTGAGTGAAGGAGGAGATAAAGTCAATGTTTTGGTAGAGGACGACCAGAAAGAGCTGTGTACACAATCTACAGAATTGTATGTAGATTTCTCCATTCGATTATATTCATGTCTTTGTTTTGATTGTTAATTCTCTAATCCTCCTTTTTTTCCAGCTTCTATGTGGTGTGTATAATCAGAACAAAATCTGCTTGACTACAGATTGTTACCATTACTTTTGCAGAGAGTGTCTTGCAACCCATCTCCATCAAACAGTGTTGTTTCATAAGTACCCTCTTGTTACCTGCCCCATCTGCAACAATTACTACTTGAACCCTACTCTGATATGTCAGAACCTTTCTCTCCTTGCCACTCAATATTTTCTATTTTTGCAAAGCAAGCTGTTGTCTGTGGAACCATCACTGTTCACGCTAGGTAAGATTTAATTGTTTTGTTTTTTTATTGTTTTTTCGTTGTAAGATGTTCATAAAGACTTGTTTATGAATTTTTTTTTACAAACAACTTGTACTATTGAATTTCAATATTTATAGTTTCAAGTATAATTTAATTTTTAATTACATAGAAGTGAATTTTATCTGGCGTCGTATTCTTCCAATTGTTGCGGGTACCACATACTTCGTCTCTTCCTACTTCTATGTACAATTTATGGGGAAAACGGTTTAATTTCCCACGAGAAGTATGACATCATAACAGATAGAGCCCAAACTATGACCGAAAGCCACTTATCCCCGAAAACACAGTTCTATATCTATTTCCCCCTGAAACAAAGTTCAATATCTAAATCTCCCCGAATTAATAGTTCTATATCTATAATGTTACTTAGTAACAATTGTAAACTATAAAAATTAAATATCTTAGAAAATGATACAATTTGCAAACTTTTATATATAATAAATAATCGTTAAATTTTAAAAATTACTACTTTTAGAAAACAAATCACGGGACAAGTTAAGAAGTTACAGGACAAGTTATATTTCAGAACAAAGTTATATGGTGGACGAGTTTGAATCAATATTTATAAAATTTTAAAATATCATTGACATGCCGCTTTAATACAGATTAAATCTTCAGTTTATTAAAATATAAATGTCTTAGAGAATGATATGATTTGTAAACTTTTATATATAATAAATAATCATTAAATTTTAAACTAAAACAAATCAGGGGACGGATTAAGAAATTATGGAACGGGTTATATTTCAGAACAGGTTTATATGGCGGACAAATTTGAATCAATATTTATAAATATCATTAGCATGCCGTTTAATATGGGTTAAATCCTCAGTTTATTAACAATTGTCTCGTGGACTCGTGGTATTCCGTTACTTAATAACAATTGTAAACTATAATATAAATAAATATTTTATAGAGAGATATAATTTCAAAATATTTTTATACTAACTTTAAAAATAAATCATCCTGCGGTATAGCGCGGGTTAAAATCTAGTGCTTTGTTAAATATCTCTTCTTTAGTTATTGTCAAATTTGAATGCAAATTCAAAATAAATTTGAAACCCATCATAACAATCAAAGAGAGACATGCACTAATTTTCTAAATAAGTGTAATCTGAAATGAGAAGGGGAAGAATGAAGAAGACGAAGGATCGGAAGAGGATGTAATTTTGTCATTTTTTTGTTCGTTTTTAAAACTCTCTAAATCAAAAAGATTAGACATGCAAGTGGTTTGAAATCGGTTTGAGTGGTTTTTCATCGGGTTTGGTTCGTAAACCGATTAAACAAAGATTTATGGGGAAATAGATGAAAACCATCGATTTAAAGAGATATAGATTGAGAAGTATTTTTTTGGGGATATCTGAATCGTGGTCATAGTTTGGGCTCTATCTGTTATGATGACATACTTCGCGTGGGGAAATAGACCGTTTTCCCCAATTTCTGAGATGGCGTGTAAGAGCATGATTATCGGGAGGTTTAAGTATGGGATCTAAACCCAAAATGTCTAAAATTTAAATACAATAAAAAAGAAAACATTGGACTCGTGTCTAAAGTTAGATTTTTAGAAATCATTTAGACACCTATACGTGTCTTTAATTGGTTGGTTTGGGAAACTCTATTACACGGGAAAACAAACTTGAGTGAATTTTTGCAGAGACGTTATTTGTTATAATAATTAGGAAATCGGTATAAGTGAGAAGCGTCGGAGACAACATTGAAAAAAAAGTTGGAATAAGTCTTGTAGTTGACAATAATTACAAGAATACCAGGCTGGGTTTACGTCGTGCGCGTGGGGAAGGAGAATATGGCTTTACGAATAAACGAATGAACATACTAACACAAATTAAATGTTCAAATTAAATGGAAAGTGATTGTTAATAAATGCAACATATCTTAACTCGAGCTAACTCAAATTTGAATATAGACAACTATTGTAATTGCATGGACACTCAATAAATACTTATTTTGAAATTTTTAAACTACTAACCTAGTGGCATTGATATGTGGCATTGATATGTCTATAATTTGCATGTTTTATACATCCATTTATCACCATTTTGAGTCTAGTTTCGTTCATCTTTCATAGCATTCATCATCATTTCGCATAATTTGCATGTTTAAGTGTGTCTATCATTAGTCTTGCATGCATTTTGCATTCTGGAGTTGTTTCAGGTGTTTCGGAGCTATTGGTGTTCAGAAAGAGGAAAAACAGAGCTGAAAGTCCAATTTGGACCCTTATACTCGATCACCAGTAGCAGAGAGGGAAGCAGTCAGCTCAGCAGACCACCAGGACCCTTATACTCGATCACAGGGCAGTCCAGCCAGACTGTTCTACTCGATCGCAGAGGAAGAGGAGCAGTCCATCCTGCCAGTTCACTGTTATACTCGATCGCAAGGTTAAAGAAGCAGTCCGTCCTGACAGTCTACCCACATACTCGATCACAAGAGAGAAGAAGCAGTCCAGACCACGCCACCACCCATTCTACTCGATCACCACCTCGACCCTCTGATCAATCCGCACTCAACCAGACAACCTGAGCATAGGAAAGAGAAGAGGAGAGAAGGAACCACTCAATCGCGGGTTTCGATTCACGCTCGACCATGAAGCCCACTTTGAGCCCATATACTCGACCACAACGTTCCATGGGCCTGTTAAGCGGACTCGAAGCCCACTTACTTATCCTTGTCGTTTTTGCTATAAGTAAGTCTCTAAGGGTTTCCCCTGAGACATCGACTTTTCATTCTCTTTTCAATTACGTTTTAGAATCGCAACCTAGTTTCGTTCAGTAGCCGTTTTTGCTTCTGAAACTCTGTATTTTCGTTTCTTCTAAGTTATTGAGATTTCGCTTTCGTTTCCTTGTTCATTTCTGTTTTTATTTCCTTTAATCTTAGAAGTTATGCAATCATCAATCGTTTCTGTGTCTTTGAGCATGTTGTCTGAGTAGTGACTAGGATTTCTGAGGATGGGATAAAGTAGATGTGAGACCCTTAGTCGATTCTGATGCTTAAGTGTAGTTTTATTGAATCCCTTCTGGATTAGTTGTGTTTACTGCTTATTCCTTTCTGATCAACTGGAATTCGATCAGAAGCATTCCCGCACCCAAAAGGTGTTCGATGGAATGCTTGACCTACTAATTCCAGTGATAATCGTCTCTATCCCAAGGGATTGGCCGTTTAGAGCGGTTATTGACTTTAACAGTCGATTCTTATTGCCTGCATAGTTAGATTCCGTTAATGGGAATTAGTCTGGGCTAGCTTTGCTTGAGGATTTGTTACACAGGAGTGAATAAATCTGTTGTTGAACCTGTTGTCTAGGGATAGCTTCATTGAGAATTGTTAACCATCGAAATTGATTATGGAGTCCACACTATTCGATTACCCCATCCTTAGGAGTTTCTTATCCAATTGATTTATCTGTTTACTTATCTGCTGCATTCACCTTCTCTTTTAACAGCTATTGAATTTGATAATTGTCTGTTTTTGGACCAGTTTACTCGATCACAGCCTCCCTTCAGGCAGTGAGCCTTGTGATCGAGTATATTAGTCATTTCTGTGACTTTTTACTGTTTCTGCATCAATCACTAGAACTGTTAGAGAAACAACCAATCTCTGCTTGGCTTGACTTAGTGCTTTCTGATCATATCTCATTTGTTTGCATCACTCCTAAAGTGGATTGACACCTATAGTACTACAACGACATGATAGTGCTTTAGGATTAATTGATCTTAAAATTCTATTATCAGGCATGGACATCCAATAAATATTTTACACGATTTTAACATTTGTATACAGATAAACACATACATAGATCTGCATCTATACTTTGTATATCTATTTGTGAAGATCCAAAAAATGTTTTAGATCCTTATTTGTATCGTAAAAGTTATCTTTTCCGATGAATAAGCAATGGTGGTGTGAATAATAAACAAGACGATGTTTTTTTATCGGTTGAATAAATTAGAACAAAATGAAAAGAGAGAGATGAACATGAGATATGCATCTATAGTTTGTAGATCTATCAGGAAGGTCTACATCCGACATGTTCCTAAAGAAAAAAAAAAGGTTTTCATCAGTTATTAGACCACCTAGAAAAATTATGAACATGCAAACATGAAATTATAGATCTATGCTGATTTGTGAATATCTAACCCGGATCTAAAAAAATAGGTAAAGAACTAAGTGGATCTGGGAAGAAAAAAACGACAAGTATAGATAGTTAGGATTTGTTGCAAATGACGGAGAAACAGAAGATTTAAAACCAACACCGGTGACTAGAAGCACAAAAACAACATAAATCGACCAAAAATCTTACTAAATTCAAGAAACTTCGAAAACAGACGAAAGAGGCGAGATGTTGCAGAAAAGAAAAGTTGGACCGATTGTTTTAATAAAGGAGAGAGGCGAGTAAGGCTAAAATCGGAAAAAAGGATGGCTAATTATTATCAATGTCTTGGGTTATATGGCCTAGCACCGAAAAATTTAAATACTTCAAAAAGTAGCGTCTCTCACCCAATTATCTAAAAAAACTTTGCCCGTGTTTCTTTCTCTCTCTCTCGATTCATCGCCTTTCTCTCTATCTATTTCTCACGGAAAAGGCGATTACATCACTGAAATCGGAAGCAAACAGAGGAGAAATAATGATCTCCGAGTCCTCGATCCGCCGTGATCATCATCTCCACCGACGCGAGGCACGATCAGCCACTTTGGTTGAGCAAATCTGCGACTCGGGTTGAGCAGATCCGCGACTTTCTTTCACCAATCGGTGTATTTGCTTCATCAATCGGCTGCTCATGGTACAAATGTCTTTCTCATGCTTCGATTTCGTGTTTGTTTGAGGCTATAGAAATTAGAGTTTTGTGATTTTAGAAAAATTAGGGGTTTTGTTAGTTGAATTAGAGTAATTTGAAGACGAGTAGGACATGATTATGCTTAGGTTTAGCGACATTAGCCATGATTGAAGACGATTTATGGCATAAATTGTTTGTTCCCATGATCCTGATCCATAGTTTCGATTCCTAAAATTGTTGGAACTTAATTTGTTCTTAAATTTATTAAGTTGTTGGTTATATTGCTTCTGTTGCGCAAGGCTGAAACAATTATTTTTAAATGTATGTCGAATATGAAAAATATTTGGTTCTATCTACATGAATTTGATTAAGTTTGCTCAGTTTTTATCTTGAATTTGATATGAATCTCTGTTTTTGTTGAGGTCATTGGAGAAACTGCGAGAAACGACATCACATAATTAGAATATGCAAGTGCTATCACCAACGAATCAAGGCAATTCTTCTTTCTTTAACTCTTTAGCTATTCATTAGGTAAAGTTTTAAGTTTCTTGTTAAATGTCTTGTTTGTGATAAATTCTTGGTAGCTGTTAAGTAAAACTGTCGACATCATGCTGTCAAATGCTTGAATGATGTCTTTAATGTCTTGAATCAGTCTCCCTGTTCTGTTCTAAATGAATTTTATGCTTTAGTGTTTTGTGCTAAATGAATTTAGTTCTTTGTGTTTTGTTGTAATTGAATACTTTGTGATTGAGACATTGGTTAACTTGTATTTTGGTTCAGTTAAAAGTCTCTATTAATATGCTAAAGATGTGGTCGAGTGTTTTCAGTGAAACAGGCTAGAAATGCAATAACTAAGCAACATGTAACAAGAACAAGCAATCAATAGCAAGGTAAGCAAATAAATCAATTGGAAGAGAAATTCCCGAGGATGGGGTAATCGAGTAATGAAGTCTCCTTAATCTACAGGTGGTTAACATGCTCAAACTATCCCTAGACAAAAAGTTCAATCACCAAATCAAAGTGCTACCGCAACAGAGATCCTCAAGCTAAACTAGTCCCAGACTCAATCACCATTGACGAGAGCTAACCTAACAAGCATTACGAATCAACAAGTTAAAGTCAAAACGCTCTCTGTAACCAATACCTTGGTACAGACGCACGAATCTCTGGAATTACTGGTTCAGACATTTAATCGAACACCTTTTGGGTGCGGAAATGTCTGGGCTCAGATTCCAGTTGATCATAAAGCAATCAGCATTAAGAACAACTAATCCAGAAGGGATCTACCAATTAAACTCAACCACCTAGTAGATTAAGGATTCCAAACTACTCTAACCCATCCTCAAGAACCCTAACCACTACTCAAACTTCATAGCCAACAACATAAACCCATAAATGCATAAAAACTTCATAATAGCAAGATCTTAACAAGATGAACAACTTTGTAGAAGAAATCAAAAGCAAATACTCAATAGATTAAGAGGAATCTGGATTACAAATGTGAAGAAAACACTAATTGTCTGCTGAATAAAACTTAGGTCCTCTGGGCAAAGAGAAACAACCTATTTATAGAAAATACTAGAAAGCCCTAATACACAAAATGACAAAGTACTAAGACGGTTTAAGAAAGTACTCGACCCCTGTGATCGAGTATGAGCGGTCAAGTAAAGTTAGCGTCTTTGCGGATTCTTGCTCTGGTCACAATGCGGTCGAGTGTCTGCTTCATCATCTTCTCTTCCTTATGCTCAAATGTCTGGTTGAGTGCGGATTTTAGAAGACTCCGAAGCATGTGGTCGAGTGACTTGGCCGAGTGACTTCTGCTTCTCCTCTATTGCCTATTACTCGACCATGTCACTCGAGTGGTCTCTAGATGGTGCAATCAAGTGACTGTGGGAAGTGGTGATCGAGTGACTGGTGAGGAAGACTGCTGAGAGTATTCGACCAACGTGGTCGAGTGTTTGGTCGAGTGGATGAAGAAGGTGATGCTCGACCACGAGGTCGAGTGGTTGGTCGAGTGTTGATGCAGAGGTTGTGGTCGAGTGTCTGGGGAGGATGGTTGCTGAGAGTACTCGACCAACACGGTCGAGTGCGTGATCGAGTATATTGATGAAGAGCGTGGTTGAGTCATTTGATGAAGTAGGGCTGAGTTACTCGACCGCCGTGGTCGAGTGGCTCCTCGTTCTGCTCCTGATCACACTCGACTGAGTAAGATGAGTGATGCTGTCTGATTTAGCTCTGCTTCTCCAAGTCTGCTCACCAACAACTTCAAATCACCTGAAAACAACTCAAATATGCAACATGCATGCAAATCTATCCTAAACATGTAAAGTGAAGACAAATGATGAAAATTAGTATGAAACAGTGATGAAATGATGCTAAAACCATGACAAATGAATGCTTAAAACAAGTAAAATACAGACTTATCAAGATACGATCCCTTTTGAAGTACAAAAGAACATTTTAAACAACTTCGAAATGCAGTAATATATTTTTCGAAACTATTACAATCCAAAAAAAATTCTTTAACAAATAATATTCTAAAACTATACATACATTTTTAAGTACATTTTAGAGAAAAATATTTGTTTCTATATTGTTTACAAAGAATATCATTACGTATATCATGTATCTAAACAACTTTATTATTAATTCTCCACTATCCATATAACCAAACACAATTAAAAGATTTTAACATCAATTATAAAATAAAAATATCCATATAATATTTCACATTTAATAATATAGATATTTAGAAGATTTGATTAAGATTTAAAATTATGATTGTTTAATTGTTTTAATGCCATTGTCTTAAATTCTTAATATTAACAAAATTAAATTGAAAACAAAACGATTTATTTCCTTAATTTTCTCTTAAATCTTATCTTTCTTTAACTACATTAGATTAATTGCCAATTTCCTAAATTCTCGCTACTTAATTTAAACTTAAATAGATTATTTAGTCACTTTTATTTGATATTATATTTTTGAATTTATATAAAATACATATATTTAATAAAATAATATATTTAACTTTTCATTTGTTTAACTTTGATGAATGAAGAGCTTGCTAATTGCAGAGTGCCAAGACTAACTTAAACGTTGAGGAAGTTTTCTTCTCTATTGCTAAAGACATTAAGCAAAGACTTGCAAATACTGATGCACGAGCATATGTTACAATCTTTTTAGAATAATCTTTTTAATACTATCGATTAAAGGTATATTTTCTTAATTTAAGATGCAAATCTTGACAAAATCTTTAAAATAAAAGATATTTATTTTAAAATGATGATTTCTTATCATTTGAATTTTTGAAATTTAAAAATAAATGATGATTCGTTATTATTTAATTACATTAAATTGGATTGTCATTTCTGGAAATATCTACTAATATATTATCAAATTTAATTAGTTTACATATATACAATTTTGTTTTTTCTTCCATATATACTAATCATAATTAATTAGTATAGTTTAGTCAAGAAAATATTTTAAAATCTAAACTAAATTTCGTTGTATGATTAAAAATTATTTGTATCTAAACAAAATCCATGTTTGTTAGATTTGTGATTGGCCTCCTAAATATTAGGTAATCTCTTTAATATCTTTAAACCCGTATGAACAATTGACCCGTTTTTTAATGAATTGGTTAATGTGAGTGACGTGGAATTAAAATGGTTACGATTAAAGATTTGTAATGGCATATATTGTAATTTTTTACAAAACCTTTAATCAAATAATAACACCCCTGTTAACTCACATAGCTTACTAAAAAGATTATAAATACATACTAATTAAGAAGATCAAGTTTTGATTTGCAAGATTGTAAGAGCTGATTTTTTAAAAAAAGTTTCAACCACTAACATTGTAAAATCTGTTATTGCAATCTCAACTGTGGGAGTTGATTGAATCATGTTGTTGTGTTTGACTATATTTTTTATTTATTTATTATATTCGGATTTGAATATCATAATAATTATAGTAATTTCTTTTTTTTTTGTATCTATTCAATACTCGAAACCAACAAAAAAAATATATATAATCCAAATATAATTATAGAATCTAAAATGTAATTCCAAAAAATAAATTATTATTATTATGCTAACATCATATATTATTTACAAACAAAATAATTTTTAGATTAAATATAACAAATCTCTTTAGTGTTTTAGTTTTACTAAAATAAAATAAAATAATAAGAGCTCCCAAATCATATGGTAGAACGGGTTAGGATCACCAATAGTATGACTACCACAATTTGAGAAAAGGGGGTATGATTGGATCCTACAATTGACATTAGTCTGATATAAGATGAGTTAAATAAAATTGTTAGACACCTAAATATATAATTGCAATACTAATTACACATGTACTACGAGTTAAATCTAAAAAATGATACATATATATATATATATATATATATATATATATATATATATATATTAATACATAATTATGAAGTTTTGAAAATTATAAATGTTTAGAAAATATCGCGTCTCACAGTACACCGTGGGTCAATCTCTAAGTATATATAGTCCCGATGATGCTACCTAAAACATTGTAACTTTACACTAAATAATAACTAGATATATATATATATATATATATATATTTTTTAAATACAAAACAATAGGTTATACATAAAGATAATCTATTAAATAAATTACATTTTGATTTTTTCAAAAAAAATTATAGCCCCGCAATGTACCGCGGGTTAAAATCTAGACCACATATTGAAGGCAAGTTCTTTATTCTTTGTGATGTCAGACACCTGAAAATAAATTGAGACCTTCCAAGACATCAAAACTTTCCCGACAGGATTGAATTTAGCTGACAACTGAAAACCCCCAATCTTTGTAACCGTATACGTTCCAATTTTTCAATTTTTGAAGATGCCGACATCAGATCATCGTTGGAAGAACTCTTAGACATTTTCTTCTCGTTTTTCAGTCAATATTTTTATTTTTTAAACACCATGATACTAGACAAAATACAGTTAGAACTGAGCAAACAAAACCCAATATAGCCCACGTAAAACCAACACAATACAATTTTTTTTTTCTTCGCAATGACACAATGCAATTATGTTTGAGTCGATACACCAAATCTTCTTTGCTCCGGTATCGTTGACCTACAGCGAGGTTTAGCGAAGACAACTCCAACCTTAAAGCCTTCGAGTTCCCAGCCGATCCGGCCATTTCAATGTTCTGAGGTTTCTTCTTAGGAGGCAGAGACGGTGAATCTTCGTCTTTATTCTGAGGATCGCCGTATACAGTAAAGTTATAATCATCAGATGAGGCACCATCGGAGTCGTCAAAAACATCAAATCGGCTTGAAAATTCATCATCTTTTTCTTCGTCATCTGCTTCTTGGTCACCTGATTCTTGGTCACCTGCTTCTTCGTCTTGATTTTCACTATAATCATAACAGAAACCTTCAAATCCACCATCGGGAACTTCGTATCTAGATTCTAAATTTGAGCCAGAACTGGATGGCCGTTTCATCCTTCCTCTCGATCCGTCCTTCCGACTAATTTCCATATACTCTTTCACCGTAAATTTCACACAGAGACGTAGTTGATTGATTTTCTGTAGGCTTAGAAAACATTGCAACTGTCGATCATTGGAGACATAAACTGGTGGACTATCAAGCGACATATTTTTCATAGCCTTCTTCGAGAACATGTAGCTCAGCTTTAACTGATGGCTCAACTCATTCAATCCGTAGTCATCGAGCACCAACTTCACAAGCTTGTCATGCGTTGTTTCCGCATCTATCTGCACAACTCTACACCCTTTATCATCGGTGTTAAATACAAATTTGTGTTTCTTTACCCAATTACCGAAAACAACCATTACCGGAACCGGATCAGTCATATCGGGGTAAGGAAGAACGAAAATGAAGAAGTAAGACGATGACGAGTCG